AGCTCGCCTTGAAGGAGTAAATGTTTCAAGAAAGACCATAGCAAGAGGACTCCATGACAGAGGATTACATTTAAGGAGGCTTCTACGTGTTCCGAAGCTTAATTTACAGCACAAAATTACGCGACTACAATGGGCTGAGGAGATAAGAGCAAATGGACCTAATTGGAATTTCGTCATGTTTAGTGATGAAACAAGAATAGGCCTAGTGTCAGACTCGCGACGAACTTTGGTCTGGAGAGCATCTGGAAGACGAGCACGTTTGAATGCAGCTCAACCCCGTGTCTCTTTTCAAGGGGGAAGCATTATGGTATGGGCAGGTATAATGCTCGGAGCTCGAACTTCTCTTGTTTTTATTGATGGCACAATAACAGGTACCTCATATCTTAGAGACGTTTTAGAGCCTATTGTGCGTCCATTTCGAGAGGCAGTGGGGGATGAATTTGTTTACATAGACGATAATGCTCCCCCCATCGCACTTTAGCGGTTCGCGAATTTTGTGAGGAAGAGGGTATAAGACAACTGTGCATGGTGGCTACCGATGTTTCCAGATATGAATGTGATCGAGCATGCTTGGGACATGCTAAAGCGCCACATTGCCAAAAGGAATGATCCTCCCCGTACCTTAAATGAATTGAAAATTGCTGCGCGCGAAACATGGCAAGCCATTCCTTAACATCTTCTGGGCAACTTCAATGAGAGACAGAAAGAAACGTCTACTTATGCGGTTTGAAATTTTGATGCAAAATCTGGCAATACCGCTCAGAAGAAATGTACCCACCCATACCCACCCAACTTTTTTTCTCTTTTTAATACATTTGATTTGCCATTAAGCTGCCTACATCACTGTCTTACACGTTAAAATCCTATAAACAGAGTTGGTCTGTCCCGATCGGTATAGTGCTTGAAATAAATCAATAGTGTGATGTACGCTGAATTTTATGCTGAATCCAATTCTGTACAGAAAAATGGTAATGCGATTGCAATTTTAAAGAAAATATTTTTTTAGGATATGCACTTTTTTATATAGAACTTTTTTTTCTTATATTTTTGGCAACTACGAAGATATTGGACTTCCTCGTACTAATGGTCACCCTATATATACATACTAATAAAAATTCTCTTCTAATGTGCCTCACCATCTTCCAGTGCTACGAGCCGCCCCTGATTTCTGAAACTATTAGTTGGGAGAAATAATTAAAATTGTTTTCAATATTTTCTGTTTAAAATGAAATTTGTTTTTGTTGATTTTCTCTCATTATGAAATCAAATTATAATAACAGCCTAGTTGCACTTAGATTTTTAATTTTATATTAGTTAGTCGTGGATTAAGCCATTATGTCCAAAATATAAAAAAGAATCATATTAGGTCCAAAATAAAATAAAAATATCGTTATATACAATAATTTTGGCCACTATTTAGTTGATATCTATAGGAAAGTACGAGAGTGAAATATAAAAAGAGTTTAAAAGTAGCAAAATTACATCAAATACTTCTAAAGCTAAACTTTAGAAGTTGTTATTCGACTTTAAAATATTTAGGCTGCGCCACTGGCCATTCCTATAGAAATATTCCTCCCATAGGAAGACGTAAGAGGGAACAAAGACAGAAATAGTTTTTATCGCACAGAAGAAAGAAACAGATGTCTCAATTATAATATGGCTAGCATATGGTATGATGTATGATTTTTGGGCTTATAGAAACAAAAGCATAATGCAACAAACGATATTATACAGGGTGTCCCTATATTCCGTTTGGCCCCATAATATTTTCATGTATTTTAAAGTTCAATCAAAGAATATTATAATTAAAATATTCTTTGGTTCAATATATTTTGTTTTTGTTCTAGTGGGCCGATTTCGATGAATTATGAATTTTTAAGCAATTTGTAGCTAAATTATTTGATTTTAAGCCTCTTTTTAAATTGACAATTAATTAAAGTCTCCATCTGCCTATGAGAGAAAATAAAATGTTATTTTGGGGAAAGTTTGAAACACCTTGTGGAATGGTTATCCACAGTAAGGAATTTAAAAATCACTTTATCCTCTAGGTCTAGGTAAATCTTAAGAGTCTATTCCAAGCTTAAGAAGTCCATTTCACTAGTCCATAAAAATAGTAAAACTGGTTTTCTTTCGAAAATCCACATCTATGAAACTATGAACCGTTCCTGGTCACAAACTGTACATTGTGAGACAGGGAATTGTAGAGAGAAACAAGCCCTATAACATAGGATACAACATTTAATGAACAGTGCTTTCCATAAAATACAATAAAATGAAGAATATACGAAATAATGTACATGTTCTGATTTCTTTCGAAAATCGACATCTATGAAACTATGAACCCTTTCTGGTCACAAACGGTACATTGTGTGACAGGAAATTGTAGAGAGAAACAAGCCCTATAAGATAGGATACAACATTTTAATGAACAGTGCTTTCCATAAAATCAATAAAATGAAGAATATACGAAATAATGTACATGTTCTGATTTCTTTCGAAAATCGACATCTATGAAACTATGAACCCTTCCTGGGTCACAAACGGTACATTGTGAGACAGGAAATTGTAGAGAGAAACAAGCCCTATAACATAGGATACAACATTTTAATGAACAGTGCTTTCCATAAAATCAATAAAATGAAGAATATACGAAATAATGTACATGTTCTGATTTCTTTCGAAAATCGACATCTATGAAACTATGATCCCTTCCCCGACACAAACGGGACATTGTGAGACAAGAAATTGTAGAGAGAAACAAGCCCTATAACGTAGGATACAACATTTTAATGAACAGTGCTTTCCATAAAATCAATAAAATGAAAAATATACGAAATAATATACATGTACTGATTTCTTTCGAAAATCGACAACTATGAAACTATGATCCCTTCCCCGACACAAACGGTACATTGTGAGACAGGAAATTGTAGAGAGAAACAAGCCCTATAACATAGGATACAACATTTTAATGAACAGTGCTTTCCATAAAATCAATAAAATGAAGAATATACGAAATAATATACATGTTCTGATTTCTTTCGAAAATCGACATCTATGAAAAAAAGTCGACATCAATAATGATATTGTACAGAATTGAACGCTCTACAAAAAAGGTCTCTTTCAATTTTTCGATAAACCTACTCCTTCAAAATTTATTCACGGTTAAAGTTAATCACTCGGTAAATTCCAAAATTTTTCAATTTTTTTGACAAAATTATGATTATTTTAAAAAAATTTAATCTATTACTATAAAAATATACAATTCTGATGATGTTAAGGTTGGGAATTAAGAAATCTTCAAGTCTAATGAAGTTTAAACCATTTAAGCTGATTTATTCTAATAAACATTCTTTAGTTGGATTTTGATTTTTTTTATGTTGGCCAGAATGTTTGCAAAAATAAATTCAAATCGTCAACTCAATAGGAAAAAAAACGTTAGGAAAATAACAGAAATTTACCGAACTTACTTAAAATTAGTTAATACTATACTATAATTAGTTAAGTACTGTAAAAGAATACAAGCTCAAAAATAATAAGTATTAGAATTAACTACCTGTCATGCATTCAATTGTTTTCCATGATTCAAAATTGTTTATCATGGTATCATGAAAATTGCTTTTTTTTCAAATAATAGATTAAATTTTTGAAAAATAATCATGATTTTGTCAGAAAAGTTGGAAAATTTAGGAATTTACCGGGTGGTTAAGTTTAACCGTGAATAACTTTTGAAGGAGTAGGTTTATGGAAAAATTGGTAAGAGAACTTTTTTGTAGAGCGTTCAATTCTGTACAAGAATGTTTAATTATTATGATTGTGAGAGAACAAGATCAAGAGAAAAAAAAATATTTGCAAAAAGGGGCAAATTCCCACGTAACTTAAATGGGAAATGAATCGTCTGTAGGTCAAGTTTTATTGTGAATATTAATTTACTGTGAATATTAAGGGTTTACAATGGTCTGTTATTATTTTTCATACAATACACTAAAAATTTAGAGGGCGTCGTGAGAGAAAAGATCAACTTTGTAAATAACCTTTTAAATAACGACACCCTATAGTGTGTATATATTTTTAATTCTAATATTTTTGTAGCTTGGATCGGATAAATCATAATATATAGAAATTTGTCTATTTTTACAGCCTCAGTTAGTTGCTCTGTTAACTCCATTTCTAAATTGCAACAAAAAGAAACATACAAAATAATGGAAAATCCCTATCTGTTGACACATACTAAAAGAAAATTTTGACATTGATAGATGTCCGTCAGTAAAATTATAACGCCAAATCAAATGACAATGACAATTACTAAAATGAATATGCAGAAACGAAATGCCGTCACCAATCTCTTTCATCTGGTTTGCAAGCTATTGAAAGCTTTTAGCTATGATTTTAGCAGTTTACATTAATTTATTTTACTCTAGCAGTTAAGAATTTAATCATTTCAGCAAATTCACTTGATTTCAATATGGCTAAGAAAAACTGTAGTAAGTATTAATCAAGATCATAATTTAAACCTTTTTTATGGACTTTTATCTTTATATGGCTTTGAACAAACACAAAAATATCACAGATATCATGTTTTAATTGTACCCACCACCTATCGCATACAATTTACCTATTCGTATTCTGCGTAGAGCAAAATAAGGGTCATTTCAAATTAATAATTGGGACAAGAATATCAGGTAAAGTAATTTTATTACTTTTACTTTCTTACAAACCGAAATTATAAACCAATAAACCATTTTGATATATCTATTTTGATTTGTTATCTGTAGAACTATATACATAGTAAGGACGAATTTCCGAATAATTTCTTATTAATTAAACCCAATATTTAAGCAAGTATAGGTGTTATCAAATAAAAAACACATTTAACAATAAACGTAGACGTTAATACCGAGTCATAATTAGGCGAATGCCAGAGCTAATAAAAGATAATTATTTTTTTACCTTGATTAGTTTAAAGTGTTCAATTAAACCAAATAACTTAGATAATGTGTAGAAAAAACAATACCTAGGTACTCTTTGAATAAACAGAATTATATTTTTACTTAGTCTGATCCTAAATTACGTAAATTCAGCGAGAAAAGAATAAATATACCTCGCAATATATTTTTATAATCATTTAAATTTTCAAATAAGCGCGTTTAAATGAGCGAAAGATGTCCTGCGCTAAATGGTATGCGCGGTCGATGACCTTAATTCGTCATTGAACAACTTAAAAATCTCCGAGATCGGCGACATAATTTTTAAAAACCTCTTTCGTTATAAATAACGCGTATTTTGTCGCTAATTTATCGTGGAAGACTGCCTAGGCAGCTCAAGTTCTTTCGCCTTTTATAACAGGTATTTTATTTGTTTAGTTTTTCAGTTAATTTAACCTAAAAATTGTGTTACCTTTTGTACAATTTTTTTTTGTGTTTATATAAGTGGTGATTTATTATGTTATTCACTTGAAATTTGAGGAGTAAAAGTGTTATTTAAATTATTGTATGATACATAATAGTTATTTAGGTGTTTACTTGATTTTGATACCTAGACATCATTATATTAGAGATAAACTCTTGAGATTGTTGTCTCTGCCTAAATCTTTTAATAGGGTTCTTATTACTATCAAACTCTATCATTAGTTTAGTTCTTTTTAAACAATAACATCAACATTTCCATCAAAAATTTTTTTGAATTAGAACAAATTATTTTCTGTTTCAGACAATAGGTGCCCTACAATGTCGAATACCTTGCAGTCAGTGATAGCTCAGACGTTGCCCTTTGAGGATCAGAAACCAGGAACCAGCGGGTTGCGTAAAAAAGTTCGAGTTTTTATGCAAAAGAATTATACAGAAAATTTTATCCAGTGTATTTTTGATGCTTTGGGTGACAAACTTAAGGGTTCTACCCTGGTTGTCGGTGGAGATGGAAGATATTTTTCTAAACCGGCTATAAATACCATTATTAGGATTGCTTCGGCTAATGAGGTGAGTGAAAATTCAGTTGGATTTAGTTTATTAGAGAATTTGCAAATATTTTTTATCATTTATAGTTAAATTACAGTTGAAAAAATAGTTGTGTTGAACCTTAGATAATGTAGACAGTAGACAGTGTCTGTGTCATATTTGTTTAGATATTTAAGTTCAAATCCTTTATTGACCTTTTGATCTCAGTCCTATATATAAATGATAAATGAGATTCCAACATGTAAAGACTTGGAAATAATAATTATTAAAGTTGAATATTAAGAATTCTATAATTAATTAATGTAATGATTTATAAAATTATGAGTACTCAAAATAAACAAACTCAAATACTAGAAAAACGCAATGGAAACATTTTTGGTCATGTTTAAAATGTTATATTTTAATTTTTTTTAGCAAACTGTATATAAATTCATATATCAACTTTAATTTGTGTACTCAGTTTATTATAAACTTTAGTATTTGACTTATTATACAGGGTTAATTGAAGACTTGTTTTTTACCCTATATTTAAAACATCCTGTGCAATAATTTTGTTAGCAAATTTTCCTAAAACGTTCTTTTTCGGTCAGGACCATGTCTCATGAATATTTTGTTTTTTGACTCATGTCAACACATGCCTTGGTTAATTTTTAAGAGGAAAATGAACTTGCCACAAACATTTTGCAATTTGTTCAATTATATGGTTACTTCTTAATGTTATTCTTCATAATGACGAGGTGGCTTTGGTGATTATTGTTGTGTCACCAAAGCTACCTGGTGATATTAAAAAATAACATCATCAAGTAATGATAGTAGAAAAAATTTGCAAATTTTTGGTGACAAGTTCATTTCTCTAAAAGTATAGTATAGTCTTAAAAATATTATTAATCCTATTTTGATTGATATATCTTTGTATAGAACGTTTATCTATAATCTGTCTGAAACGAGAGAAGATACCTACATATGACCCATATGACAGTGATATTTTTTGTTGTCTGTCATTTTAATTTAAATCACGGATAAATTGTATTTTCTGTCATTCTTTTGGATGTTGTCTGTCAAAATCTTCCACAAACCTTTTGGTCAGACTTTACAAGCTATTCTTATGAATCAATTTATGTTACAGGTCAGCAAATTGATTATTGGTCAGCTAGGAATACTTTCTACGCCCGCTGTATCTGCCTTAATTCGTGAACATAAAGTTTTAGGTAAAAAAAAACACTTTTTAAAGTTTTTTTAAAATTTTAATTGAATATTTTATTTTTTTTTAGGTGGAATTGTTCTGACAGCTTCTCATAATCCTGGCGGTATCAGGAACGATTTCGGTATTAAATACAACATAGAAAATGGCGGACCTGCCCCTGATAATATAACCAACTCCATCTATGAACTTTCTACGAAAATAACACAATACAAAACAACTCCTACCTTAGAAACTGATAGACTTATAGATATTTTGGGAACTAGCAAATTTAATGTAAGTATATTTGCAAGTTTAACCTGTATTATTCAGTTCCTTTCCAAGACTGCAGTTCGGATTGCGCATAAACAAAGTTGTAAAATACTTTACTTTTGGCACGTAAAACGCGCACCTTAAAATTTTGATGTACTTTAAAGTTTGATATATTGTGTTCTAGTTGACCGATTTTGATGATCTTTTAAACAATTTGTAGCTAAATTATTTGACTTTTTAGTATCTCTTTCTAAATTAAAAATTATAGTTCCAATCTGTTAATGATATGAGGGAATTAAATGGTGTTATTTTGGTGAAAGTTTGGAACACCCTGTGGAATATGTTAAAAAAGCAACGAATTTAAAAATAATTTTTTCATCTAGGTGCATCTTTTCTGGATAGTTTAATTTTTGGTTCATCTCAATAGCTTTATTTTTATTGGAGATATTGGTTTTTGAAGAAGACACTAACATTTTTTCGTAGTTTTTATTAATTTTTTTGCTAAAAAAAATTTAATTGCTAAAAAATCATCAAAATCGGCCCACTAGAATAAAATATATAAAACTTTAAAATACATCAAAATTTTAAGGTGCCTGTGAGTGTATCAAAACATCTTTTGTGTTATAGGTAGATGGTAGACAATTTACAGTAGAGATTATTGATTCCACTACTAATTACGTAAACCTAATGAAACAAATATTCGATTTTAATAAGCTGAGAGCTCTAATTAGGGGAACAGACCAGAGACCCGCATTTAACGTCTTATTGGACTCTATGAATGGAGGTTAGTCAATGTTTATTTTTCGTAAATGCATAAATTTTGTTTATTAAAAGTTTTTGAAGTGAAACTTCTTACGCGCGATGGGAGTAAAAATTCAACCAACCTTGATGTGTACCAATGCACAGTGGTTCCCAGATAGGTCATTACTTAGAAATATTAATTTCAAAATGTTTGCATGAAACTGTTGCTAATACTTTTCTTATATTCCCCTGTAAACGATACATAATAAATAAGAAAATCAAGTAAACCTAGTGTAGCGCTTTTTTTATTAGAAATGTCACATTTTTGCTACTGGTATCAAGCTGACAAACAGTTTTCAGATAACGCCAATTAATTACTTATTTTATTAAAATTGATAAAAGCTTTTGCCTTTTCTGTAATGGACGTTCGAAAAGAAGGTAAAGAGAACTGTTTTTTTCTTTTTTGCACTTAATTAAACCTAAGTAATATTAGTTTATGGCAATTTATTTGAAGGCAACAAAAATAGTATTTTTACAATTTTGCTTGTCACTCTTTAAGACTTTTAACTACCTTCCCTTTCAAATCCTCTTAAACGGCATGATAATACTTGTTGCTTAAAGTATATTGCATATAAATTAATTGCCACTTGCTGCCGCGAATTGCCGCTGGATCTTATACTGGGTGGTGAAAGATTGACTTTTTGTCTTAAAATAAAAGTAACGTATTTTTTCCTCTTCGTGTCAACTTATTTCGTGGACACACTGTATATCAATTGACAATAAAATTGTATTTATAAAATGAAACAACTGTCTCTTTTATTTTTTCAACATTTAAAATAAATTTGACCTCTTCAATATGAAAAAACATGTACATAATATGTGCAAACATAATATGTATAACTTGGTTCTGCCACAATTTCCATCTAGATTTACTACCTTTATACGACTATCAGTAGTAGACTAAATAATAAATAACGTAAAATAAGCTCCGTAAAGACTGACAAATTCACAAAATTTCAAATCAAATTCAAATGTGTCAAATGAATCGTCAAACAGAACTGTCAAGGATCCCCACCCTAGAATCCTTTTTCCGCCCACCATGCATGAATACATGGATAGCATTATGCTCCCTCCTCGTCTTCTTATTCAAAGGAGAATTCGAATAATGAATTGAATAATGACAAGACAAGTGACATCTGTCTAAAAAAGACAGCGATTTAGAGTGATAATTTGGTTATGTAAAATTTAGAGTGACAATTTTGATTATGTAAAAGAAATACACATTCTAATAAAAGTTTAAAAAAACATTATAAAGTTATAAAGCTAAACTTATTTAAAAAAAACTTTTTTTTAAACCTCTAAAACTCTATTTTTTTGAAGTTTATAAAAAGCGTTCATAAAAAAATATACAGGGTGTTTCAAAACAAATGCGAAAAACTTCAGGGGTGATTCCTTGTTCAAAATAAAGGGTAGTTTGCTTTATAAACGTTAGGTCAAGTCAACCATTAGGGAGATATCGCGGTACAAAGATGGCGGAAAAATAATGTTTTTATTCTTTATCTTGAAAACGAAAAACGATAGACTAATGAAATTTTATGGAAGCATTACCGTTATGAAAACATACTTTCTCACTTTTTTTAAAATGAGTGGAAGGTGTTGAAATAAACTACCCCTATCATTCTTGTTAACGAAATTAAAAAAAAAGCTTATCAAACACATGCAAAAAAATTAATTTGGATAGTTTAGTTTGTTTAGAAACTTTTTTATCTCTTGTGTTTTTTGATAAAACTCACCGATTTGAAATTAAAAATAAAATGTAAAGCATTACATATCAGGACAAAAACATTTTTAGATAAAGAATCTAGTGGGCTGCTCTAATTTTTTAGGAAAAATCTAGTCGGCCGCTGTCACTTTTTAGGATGTTTCTAATATTATTTTATTGACATTACTCTACTGCAATACGTTATTATCTAGATTCTTATTATTATCGTTATTATCACTAGATTCTTTATCTAAAAATGTTTTTGATCCTGACATGTAATGCTTTGCATGTTATTTTTTAATTTCAAATCGGCGAGTTTTATCAAAGAAACACAAAAGTTTCTAAATAAACCAAGCTATCCAAATCAATTTTTTTGCATGTGTTTGATAAGATTTTTCTTTAAATTTCGTTAACAAGAATGATAAGGGTAGTTTATTTCAACCCCTTCCACTCATTTTAAAAAAGTGAAAAAATTACCAGAAAGTGTGTTTTCGTAACAGTAATGCTCCCATAAAATTTCATTAGACTATCTCTTTTCGTTTTCAAGATAAAAAATAAAAACATTATTTTTCCGCCATCTTTGTACCGCGATATCTCCCTAATGGTTGACTTTTGACCCAACGTTTATGAAGCAAACTACCCTTTATTTTGAACAAAGAATCGCCCCCTGAAGTTGTTCGCATTTGTTTTGAAACACCCTGTATATCCTTTAAATCCTTCAATTTAATAGCTGTTAGTAAAAAGTTTCACTTCACTTATGAATGCACCGCATATACATTTCCGGTTTTAACGGAAGTCTACGTTTCTTAAAAGTAATATTAAATTATTACACAATTTTTTGTTTACAGTTACTGGTGTATATGTGCGTAACATTTTCGTCGAGGAACTTGGGGCTTCCCCTGATAACAACGTTAGGCGCGTAGTACCTCTGGATAACTTCGGTGAAATACATCCAGATCCTAACTTAACCTACGCGAAAGACTTGGTAGATAAACTGAAAGAAGATTCCAATTATGATTTTGGAGCAGCGTTCGATGGAGACGGCGTAAGTATCACGGGATGTTTCTCTTGAATTTGGGACACCTCGTACAGCGCTTTTAGAGAATAAAATGTACTGTACAGGGTGTCCCATTTTGTATAGGCTACTTTTTTAAATAATGCATTTTTTACCTTGTTTATGACAATAAAATAAATATACCGGGTGCGTCTCGAAAGTAGAAACAAAAGCGAGATTTGGTATGTTAGTATACAACATAAATTAGGATTGATTGACGAATTCAATTGTTTTTGGTCGCTTCCTGTTTCACCGGAAATGACTACAACTTTTGATTTTTAAATATCATCCTCAGTATTTTTTTACTTTATTCGATAGAAATTGACACTCTGAATAGAGTGACATATTGTATGTCAACTTTCGACATTTTCGAATAAAAACAAATCGTATTTTAATTTTTTTTTAATTCTGTAAATTTCAATCTAGAGTGCCATGGCTGTGCTAAAAACACTAATTTTTAATCAAGGAGCCTTGGAAAAATAGTTTTGATCGTCGAATGTTTTCCGTTTCTTGTCATGGCCAGTTAAAAGATGCCCAAATCGTATTTTTAATCATATCTCAATTTTCTCAAATGGAACGAGGGTGGGTCGTGAGGATATTAGGGAAAAGTAATTTTTTTACGAATAATTTGATACCACACACTTGGTATTTCGAGTCAAGTTGTCGTTATGCGCCGCATATAACAAGACTAATAAAATAAAAATATAATATACAGGGTATCCTATTTAAAAAAAAGTTTGGGTTATATTTAAAGAATAACAGCTCCCAGCAAAAATATAGTTACGCTACTTCAAATTCTTCCTGTATTTCAGGATCTTAAAGAGAACTAAGACAAATCTGTGTGTAGCATCTTTTTGTTCACAAAAAGTGGCACATTAGTGGGAAAACCCCATTTTGAATCTCTACTCATATACGAGAAAAACCCTGTAAAACACAAAAATGGGACACCCTGTACATATAAATTAGAAATAACGTTAATTAAGTAGGATGAAATTTTTTAATTTTTTTTTAGGATCGTAACATGATATTGGGTAAAAATGCATTTTTCGTTACTCCTAGCGATTCATTGGCTGTTTTGGCGAATAACCTGGAATGTATACCCTATTTCAAGAAAAATGGCGTCAATGGATTTGCCAGATCCATGCCGACAGCCGCAGCAGTAGACAGGTTATTACGCATTGTCATATATATACTTATAAAATATTAGAATTCTTTTATACAGGGTGGCGCACCTCATTCGCCTCGGTTGATTATACGAAAACGGAAAGATGTAGAAACAAAATATTTTATGGGTATATGTGGGGAGACAATGTGCACAATTTAAAATTATTTTGAAATATACAGGGTTTTTCAGAACTCAGATCCATACCAAAGTTATATTTTTTCTTATGGAACACCCTGTATTTTATTTCATTTTTGGATTCTTGGGCTCAAAAAAAAGTATTTATTATAAGGGTTAAATATGTTTAAAATCTTTGGTTTTTGAGATATTTAAAGATATTTAAATTTGCATGCTACAATAGAATAGACTATTAACACCCTGTACATTACTTTTCAGAACCGAGGCGAATGAGGTGCGCCACCCTGTATAAGCGATACCAAATAAACGTCACCGATGGCGCGATTTTTAAATTCATTGTTGCCAGCCTTGGACATATTCGGCGCCGGGCTGACTAATTTGAATTTAATTTTCCCACTGGTGATTCAGGTGGTAGTTCTGCTGTAAAAAATGTCAAGTTGCCACATTTATCTATTTTATTTCCTGACATTTTGATTTGTTTTGACCAAAGACATTATAAAGATAGACCGAACATCTCATTCATAAATACTCGTTGGAAGTGTATCAAACATTCCAATGTGTCAAACAAGGACAGAAGAGACAGAGAAGTCTAAAATTCCCGACCCCGGCAACTAGGCGCATTTGGATTGTTCTAATGGCCAGTGACGTATCGTTTTTTGGAAGGAATTTAATTAGCAAAGTAAAAGTAAAGTAATTAGTAAAATTTTTCTTTCAAGTTTTTTTCAGAATATGGAGGCAATGGTAAAGCACATTTTAGACATTTTTGTAAACATAGGTGGCCGGAACATATTTTCAAACTAAAGTTGTAGATTTGCCATTACATTTCCATTCCAGAAATACCTAGGGTTGCCACCTGCCCTTTTTTGGAATAACTTGTCCTTTTGACTTTTTTTGACTTAAAAAGTCATTTTTATTTACGTATTTTACAGTTGAGGGTTGGAACCTTTGGTGTTAAACAGCAAAATAAAAACACTAAATCACCACAATACACCAAAACACTTTTACTTTTACACTGGACGCGCGTTTCGCTAACCATGTTAGCATCATCAGCAGATGTTTATAAACTGGCTAGAGTAACTAAACTGAGTTTATAATCATCTGCTGATGATGCTAACATGGTTAGCGAAACGCGCGTCCAGTGTAAAAGTAAAAGTGTTTTGGTGTATTGTGGTGATTTAGTGTTTTTATTTTGTTTATTTTACGTATTTTCCTTCAGGAAATTACCTACAGCAAACAGAAATATTCTTTTCGTCCAAATTTAATTAGAGATGTTATAAAACTTATAAATAAATTTTTCTTGTTTAGAATAGGTAACATTATTTAGAACTTCCCGTTTAATCTCAAATGATAGTTTAGGTTTTAGTTTTACCTTTTTTGATCTTAAAAAGAACTTTTCAAAATTAGTAATTAGTAACTATTTAGTTAGTTAGCAATCGATAGCTTCCTGTGAAGTACTGTGTAATAGTTGTTTAATCTTGTATTATTAATAACTTTCTATACCTAAAATCAATATTTAATGAGAAAATTGTGTTTTTTTGAAAATATAAGACAAGATTTGACTTTCGGTCTTCTTCTTGTATTGTGATGGCTCTGATATGAGGCAATTACCTTTTAGTCTCTCAATAGAAGGCATTTATCATTAAAAGTATCAAATCTGTGTGCTACAGTATGGGATTTCTGTCGCATAATAATGAATATTACGTTTATTTACAAACCCATTACTTTTAAAGGTAGCTTCATCAGACAATCAAATTTTAGTTAAATGTCTCAATCTTCATGAACTGTATTAAGAAAGAAAAATATTTTGAAAATGTGCATTACAATGGCCCCCATCTTATGTAAAAAATTGAAATTAAAATCACAAACCAAAAACGTAATAGGTAAAAAGCTTTTTTGGAGGCCTGGGTCACTCTGTATGTAGGTATGTATAAAACTAGTAGCCTAAAATTACAGTTCGTCCCATTCTAAAAAAGAGGCAAACACACCGTACAAATAACTCTAGGAAGAGGTATTTGTACGGTGGTAAAAAATTGTCTAAACAAGGCCGAAGGGGCAGATATAATAAAGCAGTAAAATGTAAAAAGGTGGGGTAAACACCTTTGTTTATTTGTTGAGCAAAATTCCTTTAGAATATCGTATATAATGACCAAAATATGACACAATTTTAAGAAAAAAAATGTCACTTTCTGGCTTATAATAAAGTTTCAAATGCAACGTTTATATTCAAATTTGTTATGATCTACAACAGTTAGGGAGTAATTGAGATGAATTATAATTCAATTACCGGCTACTACGTTCTTGTTTTAATAGATCAAAATTCAACAAATATAATTAGAAATTATTTTAATTGCAAGGGACTCCCCTGTGGGACGCCTATGTACAATTACGGCGGAAATTTGTACCTACCTGTGAAAAGACAAATTCGGTTAATTTGAGCTTATTTTTCCACACACTTGACACTGTCGTACTATATTGAAATTTCGCAGATTCAAAAGTATGTTAAACAAAAACAAAAACTACTGAAAAACACTGAAAAGTTCACTTGGGACTTGATTCCGACTTCAAACACACTGTAAGCTAAACGTAGTACGCTATAACGGACCAAAGGCCGTCGCGAGGGGAGGTGGGACGGACGGCTCATTTTCATTCTGGAAGACTAGCAGCGACGTTGCCAATAGTTCTAGACGTTTCAGCACATTAAACAGTAAACATGTCCTTTAATAGTAACGCATATATCCTCTGGTTAATAACATATTATTACGCATGTTTCTTTAAAAATAAACTATTAATTTAATTAAGAAATTGAGATTTATTGATATCCGGTGAAGGTTTTAAAGTCACCTTTTCTGCAAATCAAACTAAGTAGATAGGCGCAAATTTGAGATGTGGCAATGTCGCCTTCTCTATCTCAGTTGGTTTTTACAGTACGTAGTCAACCTCCGATTGTTTGATCAGGTTAAAATGCACAATGTGATATCTGTTCTTCCTAAATCTATGGTTTTGACACTTTAGAACAAAGGTTTTGGTTTGAATGAATTGTGTGGTGATCCTTTAAGCTTAAAAAATTTTACTAGCAGAACTTGCAGTTGAACATTGTTCTTTTTAGAACCTCTTATAGTGCGTAGTGTTCAAAATAGCTTAATAGCCGTTGCAAAAAACTCATCACATGCTTATTAGAATATTTTGAACGGAAAAGCGGTAGTAATGGCGCTTTATGTCTCTTAAGTGCTGTTAAGGAGGTGAATTTTGTTGATGTAAATAACTGTTTATATATTTATAATTAATTCATTTTTGTTTCCTAAAATATTTTAATTAAAAGAAAATATGTAAAAATGGGCGACGCTGTGCCGGTCAAGCTTAATCACGTGACAAAAAGTTTATTTGGTATTTATATGGGTATTATTAATGAAACAAGCAATAATTATTGATTTTTATTATGTCTAGGGTTGCTGCAAAATTAGGAAAAGAGATATTTGAGGTTCCCACTGGATGGAAATATTTTGGAAACCTTATGGACGCTGGTCGTCTATCGCTTTGCGGCGAAGAAAGTTTTGGGTAAAACTAATCCAAAATATTAATATTCAATAAAATGTATGTTGTATTTATGTTTTAACAGTACGGGATCCGATCATATCCGTGAAAAAGACGGTATCTGGGCAGTTTTAGCATGGCTGTCAGTTATTGAACATAAACAAATGGGCGTCGAAGAGATTTTGAAGGAACACTGGACCCTTTATGGACGAAATTACTTTACCAGGTAAGTTTGTTTTACTGAAAATAACATTTTACATTCAACATCTTTGATCGAAATATAATCTATAGTAGACACTGTGCTTATTGTATTATATTCTGCAAAATATCTTATGTATATCTCTTCTGTAAATCCCCTCTCTCTCTCTCTCTCTCTCTCTCTCTCTCTCTCTCTCGCCAGGTATCTACCAGGTACCTTGTGAATGCGGTGAGTCGTATATTGGAGAGATTAAACGTCCTCTAAATGTACCACTTAGCGAGCACAAAAAACATGTACAAAAAGGTGAAACAATGAAGTCAAGTATTGCGGACCATGTTTGGTCAAAATAGCACAATATAAAGTGGTCGGAAGCTCGGGTTGTCCATAGGGAACCTCATTGGAAAAAGCGTAAATATGAAGAAGCCGTTTTCTTTAGCAATCCTAGTACCGAAATATCTATTTATATTTGGCAACCACTGATAAAACGCACCAATGCCGGCATTCTAAGTGAACAACTTCACGGTTGTCTGCACTCAACTTTTTCACGGGTAAATGCCTTGTTGCAGTATAAAAACTCAGTATTTTTAGGAATTAGTTTAGTTTACACTTGATAACGGTTAGTGATCCTTCTGACCGAAACAGAATCAAAATAAATAAAGACAATGAAAGTCCGAAATTCTTTTAGTTTCAAGTAAATTGTAACACAGGGATATATTTTCCAGGTATGATTATGAGGAATGTGAAACCGAAGGAGCCAATAAAATGATCAATCGTCTGGAAGGATTCATTGCAGATGGCGGCCTTGTTGGAAAAGCCTATACTGCTTTAGGAAAAACGTACAAAGTTGCCAAAGCGGATAATTTCTCTTATGTCGACCCAATTGATAATTCTGTAGCTAAAAATCAGGTAATGTTTATAACTTTAAATAAAAATATTAAGGAAGGAGTATAATGCTACCCATGCTTTTTTTTCTATCTATGGCCACTTGCCTATTACGGCATTCAGTCATGTATGGTAGACGGAGGTTAGGTTAGGTTGGATCCTAGGGTAGGGATCCTTGACAGTTCTGTTTGAAGATTCATTTGACACATTTGAATTTGATTTGAAATTTTGTGGATTTGTCAAGTCTCTATCAAGCTTATTTTATGTTATTATTTATTGTACTACTGATAGTTGTCTAGAGATAGTAAATCTAGAAGGATGGCAGAACTTAAATTAACAGTGACTCTATTGCGATTTATCGAAAAATACTATAAAATAGTTGCTTGTGTAGCGTGCGGTAGGTCTCGGTCAAAAATCGAGGGAAATAATGAAATAACTTTTCATCAGTTCCCAGTTAGTAACTGTATCATATACATATGTGTAGTAAACCAATTATTTATGAAATTCACTTAAAATTAACTAACCATATATTTTTTCTTGTATTTCTGCTTTTATTTACTACTTGTCAAAGAATTTAGTTTGACTTACCTGCTTCAGTAGCGTATCGGATGTTTGTGTTAACGAATAATTATTATAATCTATCTATTTTTATTAGAATTTTATATTTTGGTTAACATTTTTAATAACACCAACATTTATTGAAACATAACATAAAACAACAAATTATTGAGTCTACCCTACATCATATTTTTACACGTTTTGAATGAAATTAGAACGGCACTGATAAACCGGAATTTAAGTCGGCCATTTTAGGACCCCGTCGCGTTTGATTTAAGATTTTTGATATGCTCCTTCCTTAATTTTTTTATTTAAAGGGACCCAAAGTCGAGCGTTGCCAGTAGTAGGGTATTATACTGTATGTTGTTTTTAGGGTATTCGCATACTCTTTGAAGATGGCTCCAGATTGATTTACAGACTCTCAGGAACAGGTAGCAGTGGCGCCACTATTAGAGTTTATATTGAATGCTACGAGAAAGAGGATGTTCTTACTGATGCACAGGTTATGTTGAAGCCGTTAGTTGAAATAGGTTTAGAAATTTCCCAACTTAAGGAGTTTACTGGCAGAAATCAACCCACAGTCATTACATAAAAAAAAACGTCGCAAATACTCCTCCAAAAATGTGCACCTTAGGTCTTTGCAATTTTTACATATGTATAGCAGTTAAAATGGATTTTAACAATATTCAGTTAACTTGAAAATCAATCAGATGTTCCTTTTTATAATGTTTCGCATTATCAACAGTTATTTTCCAAAGTTTTTATTATATTTAAGTGAATTGTTTTAATATATGTATGTCTATATTGTATTTGTTACGATTTGCCTTTACATTGTTTTATAAAAAAAAATATTTTTTTGTTAAGTGTAGTTTTTATACTTCCTCGTATTACGCAGGTTACGTTTAACAAACTTCGTATCGTTTTATCTACAATATAATGTTTATTTTTATTTTTTTTCATAAATATATAAATTTATTTATTTTCGTAGGCAACCAGTAATACTCAAACTTTAAAGGCGTGCACTCTGATTAACTCTGATCAAGGCTCTTTTTTATCTCTTTTATATAATGCAAATCAAATATACTAGCTCATAGAAATGTCATGAAGCTTTATATTTTTTCCGAATTACAAATATTGCTTGTTTTTAAATCCACAGGTTTCACAAAAATTATTTTTAGCAATGGAATATGATTGTTCAGTTTCAGTTTGAATTGTCATTTATTTTGAAGCTTCTGTTGCCAAGATGTTAGCGAAATCCTGAAACTATTCAAAATCGATATTTTTGTAAGTATAGAGCGAGTTGAACTGTTACAAAATAATGATAAATAATTGTTATAAACATATAATATAAGCCTTGTTTCAGTAGAATAAATAATGCGGTATTTCTTTTAGGTGCAGCATAATTTTTTACAGCAAAAAACGATAATTTCCTTTTACATGTGTTCAAATTCAAACTGACAACGTTGAGAGTACGATTTTTGCCGTTGCTAGGTTGCTAGCAGATGATTTTTGTAATTTATTTTGACAGAAAAAATGATTTTTCTGTACACAATTTGAGTGAATTCTGTTCGTTAAGGTCTGTTTGATCTCCTGAAAATGTAAGTATCCATTTTTTCTGCTTTCTGTAGTATTTTCTAATTATTTCAATTACATCGTCATTAAAAGCTGATTGATTTTTTCCTGTTTTAATAATTTTCTTGTTCTAAATTGACTACATGGAAATATAAATACCTACTGAGTGTTTTTGATATCATACGGTTGGATTCTTTAGCTTGTAATAAACCAGAAACATTTTTGTTATCTCCGAGATTTCGTGCATACCTATTTAGTGCGTAAATATTTTGAAATTTTTGATTTAAAATAGTTTTAAATTAGCTGAACATTTTAAAATGGCAATAAAACAGGCTTTGTCAAAATATATTATTGTATTCTCTTCATATACGTATTACAAGATTTGTTTGCAATTATTTATCAAAGAAATGTTTTTTTTTTGATTAGCGTTCGCCGCCCATTTTTTACTTTTGCTGTTCTTGTTTATTTTTTTGTTATCTTTGTCTAATAATTAACCATAGATTATAATTCGGACTCTCTCCTTTTGATTATTTTATTCTGGACACTGGCCGAATGACCTGTATGAGTTCGAGTCAATTAAAAGAAAAGAAGAGAAAATTTATATCAAATCTATGGTTGCCTGTGTTTCAAGCCATTTTTTTATAGAAGAAGAAGAACACTACTTTTACTCTGTGGTTATGGTTCTTTTAGGTCCTGATATTAGAAAAAGAAGAGAAGAATGCTGGTGGCGGCATTGTGAAAAAAGTGGAACTAAAATATTTCCAGGGTTGCCAGATATTAGCGAAATCCTGAAACTTAATCAATATTTTTGTAAGATTAAAACGAAACTAAACTATTTTAAATCACGATAAATCAGAAGTGTCTAGTCCTAGCAGTCAACTATTAAGCTTGACCAATCAAGTTGATTAGCGTGGTTATTTGGAGTGTGTTAATTCATTTGTGTTTGTCAAAAACTCTAACGTGATTGGTCGGGCTTAACAGTTGCCTGCTAGGGCTAGACACAAGTGCAAAAAAACATTTTGTTTCAGATGTGTTCAATCTGACAACGTTGAGAGTACGACATTTTCCGTTGTTACGAATGTTTTATGTTGCTCTAACAATTTTTCTGATTTTTTGATGGAAAAAGTGATTTTTCTATATACACTGCTTCAATGTATTCTTTCCGTAAGGCCTGTTTAATCTCCTGAATCTATTGTTTATATTACTGTTATTCCTTTAAAGGTACCTTAAGACTTACAAGTTTAGTTTAATTTCTTTTGATGCCTATGTAGTTTTGGAATAATTTCTAATTGATTTTCTCTTTATTTTGTTTCCATGTCCATTTAAAATTAAGTTTTTGTATGTGATATTGTACTGCTTTGGAACAAGAATTTTTTTGGAACAGCTGTACAATTTAACCACCCTCTTCAAGATGCCAATTCAACAGCAGATGAGAATGAAATTCATGATTAAAGAGGGAGCTAAATAATTTTAGGTAAATTATACTAAAAGGTGTATTTTTTAAGTCGCATATGTTTAATAAATACCTGATATTACTGTAATTTGTAAAATATGTGGATACAAATGATTAATTTGAAATGAAATATTTTGGCGCACAATTTATTTTAAGGTAGGCAACTTGAAATACATACATATATTAATCACAGGCAACTATAAATACCTTTTACTGTATATAGAGTTGCCTATAAACTGATTTTATATCAATTTTTAAATTTCTACTTCATTTTTAACAGGTTTTTAATTATAATTATAAAATATTTCTTTCAAATAATCAAAGGCCAAAAAGACGTTACTCCTAAGATTCCACTAATTTCGGGACTCTGAATTGAAGCTTTAGTAAATAAAAGCCATATTTAAATAATTTTATAATAATACATCAATTTATTTATATCAATCTACACAGCTTGTTACATCCATACGCACATCAAGTAATGCAAAAATAAAAATATCGACAAAAATATTCAACAGCAAAAAAATAAAAAACGGAACAAATTTAATTCTAAACGAGAGAAAAATGCCGTAAGAAAAAATGTAAGTACAAAAAAATAAATTACACTATAATAAGTAACAACTTTTTAATGACAGACTCGCGCAGAATCCGCATTTTGATTTACAAAAAAAATCTAGTAACAAAAAGTAGTATGTATATCTGTCTGTCCTTTTATTTCTACTTATTTTGACAGCTTCTTTTATGTTCATTTAAGTACATTTAATAAGAAAAAAAAATGCTAAAAACGGAATGCCTTTTTGTACGGATATATATTATGCGCGTAATTCAAAATTCCAATCTCTCTCAAAAAAATATAAAATACTGACTTATAAATACAAACAGCTAGAAAAAAACAAACAGGATACGAGGCTGTATAAAATACAGGGTGGTCCGAATTGTATTCGTGAAACTTTGACAGCATATTCCGCAGATAAAAATTAATAAAAAAAGTTCTTATAAATTTATGCCCTAATATGCTTCTTTCAGAGATTCAGGGTTCCATTTTTATTTAGATTTTTTCTAAGTGATTTTTCAACTAACGTTGATATTTGAATGAAAGTTAATGCCTAGGTGTTTCTTGACATGACAAACTCGATGTCAATGACTCTTTTATGTAGGGGGTGTCAGCTACATGTTTTTTAACTGTTTTGAAGGAGTGCAATACACCTACAAAAGAAAAGTACAATCGAAGTCGAATTTCTCATGTAAAAAAACACCCACAAACCAATTTTCATCCAAATATCCACGTTAATTCAGAAATTATTTGAAAAAAATCATCGAGAAATAAATATGAAACTTCTACACCCTGTATCTCTGAAATGAAGCATTTTACATGAACTTACACAAACTTTTTTACTTATTTTAATCTGCAAAATATGTTACCAAAGTTTCCCGGCTACAACTGACCACCCCGTATACAAACAAGTGTTTTTGTGTGTCTCTACCACTAGGAATTTCTTTTAAATATTTGTAGGGTACAGTTATACAAGTTTTTTTTAATATTATATGGAAAAATGTAAGACTATACTTGAGTTCGCGCGACAGGAGAATGTTTATGTAGAAAATACGTTGGATAAGCATTATATTGGTGGTATAGTAATTCTAAAGTCAATTGGAAACACTGTGAGACTTTTAATTTATTTGTCCAGACAAAAACTGAGGCCCACCCTATTTCAATCGACTTTGGACGAACTATATGTATTTTTATTATCGAATTTGGTCACAACTGGTCTATTTTTCCCTATCTATCTGTTAAAATATTAAACAAGACTTAAGCAGACCACACACTACAGAACATGTTGGCCTACATGCTTAGCAACATGTTCATCAACAAATAAACACACTAAGAAACTTGTTGCTCTGTAGTGCATGGTCTGCTTTACTGTCGCAACATTTAACTTTTAACATACAAAGGGCGATCCGCGATCATTGTAATAGTTGGCAATACTGTGTTGAAAGATTTTTTAGTGATTGGTACTGATACTAAAATTCCGGCCAATTATGTCAAATTTTTTGACTTTTCCTTTCCTTCCTGTAAATTTACCTAGTTTTAACTTTGTTATTATTTGTCAAATCTATATATTTCTCGATGTAAAAAATAGTATTTTTCAATACAATTATAATGCTAAACATAGAAAAGAAATCCTAACATAATCACGCTTTATTTTCGACACGGCAGTTAAAATAAAAGACAAAATAAATTACTTATAATATTCAGTTAATCATTAAATGTTCATTTTTGCTTGTTGTCGAACAACTGTCAATTTTTCCGCTGCCTGGGCATTGCTAACAGCTGAAAGCGAACTATTTCAATCATTTCAGGTCGCGCTATACAATTTTAATGTAACTTTTTCTTTAAAAGCCAACTTCCTACAATAATAACCTTTCAAAAAGTTTAACCCATTCGTCGTTTTGATATTTCTATTTCAGAGGCTAAAATAAAAATATAAATTAGGAGGTAAAAAGATTTTTTTTCTCAATCTAAGCGATAGTTTTCCTAAGATCATTTTTCACCGCATCAATTATGGTTCGTTCATCAACATCTACACGCATTCATTCATTTGAGACCATACCTGTAAGATAAAAAGACTTTTTCAGCTAACCATGGTAGGATATTTTTTTCAAGTCTTTTGATTCATGTTTGACATGCTGTACAGGGCCTAGCAATATTGCGTAGGGCATCTGTACCTCCTATACTAAAAAAACTTAGTAATTTTGTTTAAGTGCATACCTAAAGTATGTACTAGGACGCATTTGAGAAAAATTAGCTGAAAAAGTGTCAGTAGATCAGAATGATATATTTTAAATGGTATACCCTGTATATTATTGCATTTTTGGCTTCCTTCTTATCATTTTACATAGTCCCAATATATTATTAAATGTTTTTATGAATCCAGAGACATAAGTTCAGGACACATTTTAATATTTTTTTGGAAACTTCTTTACGCACGATGGGAGTAAAAATTCAAGGTCGTGACACACGAGCTAGCGAGACGAAAAGTGGTAAGGATGCACGATCGTGCATCACCAAAAATCATTTAATTTTAAGCTAAAAAATCATAATAAACTTGATACTATACCGGTAATATCCTCCGTTGTGTACTAGGAAGTAAATTTTCATGCACATTTTCATCTAGATCCGCTCTGCAGAAGTTAATATATTTTCATGAAATAAATCCTAGAACCTACTTTAGGTTCGCACTTAAAAAAAATCCAAAGTCTTTTTTATTATAGGAGCTACAGATGCCCGACGTACTTTTGCAGGACCCTGTATATTCTTAAAAAAATTGTACAACTTTCTAATTAATTTAAAAAAAAAATAATTTTTAACAAATAAATACAGGCGAAACCAAGTTTGTAGTATCCTACCATGAATAACCCTTTGCTCGAAAAGAGACTAATAAAAACAGAGTTACAGCTAATTATAATATTAATAATAATAATAATACAGTATGTACCAGGGTCTATACATAAACCCTCATGCACTTAAGGGGCGCGGAAGTTTTTTGGTTAACTTTCTAGTTTGTCTCGGAGAAAAATTTATTTCAAAGCATATTATAAAAAACCGAGGGTATGTGTGAGAGAATTTTTTAAAAATTCAAGTTATTTGCATTGACATATATTAAAAACAAAATAGAAAATTGACCTCGAAGCTAGTGCTAGCTCCCATAGTAGTGATTTTTTTTGAGGTTAACCGCGCCCAGCACTACTACAACACAGCACTCGACAGTTCAGTATTTATATAGGAGCTTCCCTGCCGGAGGGAGACCAAGGAGCGCGTTAAAGTTATGATATATCCTGATCCTCGACGTCCTGGAGTTGTTCTTTGGGTTCCGCCTCTCCTGGAACAAGAAAATTAAAATAAAATCAAGAAATATCAAGTAGTTAAGCTTTTAGGACTATGTATGTAATATTGTATTTATCTTACCGTCGCCCTGCATATCGCTGGTCCACAACGTCAGATTGTCCCTGAGCAGCTGCATGATGAGTGTGCTGTCTTTGTAGCTCTCCTCGCTCAACGTGTCCAATTCGGCGATGGCGTCATCGAAGGCGGCCTTGGCCAGGCGACACGCCCTGTCCGGACTGTTGAGGATTTCGTAGTAGAACACTGAGAAGTTTAAGGCCAAACCCAGCCTAAAAAGAAAAAAAAAATAATGTATATCCTCCAATAAAGGAATAAAAAAAGCAGATGCCGTCCATAACAATCTATTTATTTCACTAAAAAAAGTTTCTAATATTTTCTAAGTTAACTATGGATGGGTTTATACAGGGTGTCCCAGGTAGTAGGGGTGGTAGATCTCGATAAAATAAACATATTTTCTCTTTATCGTTTTTCAAATAAGTCCAAAATAACGGAGTTATTTTACTTTGAAAATTTCCAAAAAATGATTTTTTGCTAAAATTTTGAGAACCACTGGATCTTTTCTGGATTTTCTTTCTTGTAAATTTAATCTACTACCCTTGTATATATATTTTTAAAGTAGATCAACCTAAGACGTTTATGGACTAAGACTACTAGATGGCAGGACCGGTTTGCCTACAGAAAAATATTTTTTATTACTCTGAATTTTGAAGCTACCAATAAAAACAGAGAAAATAAAAATCGATAATTTTCGGACTGTGCCAATTGGTTACTAATCGACCAGATACTTTTTGTCTATTAGATATGCTATAAAAGCTGGCAATTATACAATTCGACCATTGTAAATACCCGACAAATTCTTCAAGGCCGACAAGGCCGATGTTAAATAATTTTCGAGGTATTTTTTCTGTCTGAATGCACATTTTAAAGTATTTTATATTCTTTGTCCCCTTGACCTATTATCCTGGTCGCACGTATGGAAGTTCTGTTTCTTCTAGTTTTAGAAAATGTTCATATTTCTTTTTTCCTTGTAGGTGTAGTGTAAAATTAGATTAATTTATTAAGTTTAATTATAGTGTTTAGTGTAGCATGTTAGTGTAGTCTACCAAAAATAGTTTAGTAGTGTTTTTATATAGTTTATTTTGTAGTTAAGTAGTAGGTGAAGGGATAATTTTGTTATTTTTTCTTTTTGTTTGATAAATTAGTAAGTTTGATAATTTGTTCAGTGTAGAATACAAGAATAAGTAGTTGTGTAGTGTTTTAAGAGATTATATTCGTTTATTTTGTAGTTCAGTAGTAGGTGAAGGGGTATTTGGGTATTTCTTCTTTTTGTTTTTCTTGTAATAATTGTAGTAGTTCTATTAAGTATTGTGATAGATACACTGTCTTCCTTCAACTTCGTTATAATCTTGGTTTTCTGGTAGCAGAATATACGAAAAAAAATCTGATCAAATTTATTTGAAATTAAATTAATCTAGCCTTATTAATCAAATTAAACTAGTCAAATAATAATAATAGTTAGTTTCAAAATACTATACAGGGTGAGTTTCCTACGATGTTCTCTATGGGCATCTCGGAAAGTACTGGAGATACAGAGTCGGTTAATGGGGAAAGAATTGCAGGTTTGTGGGATTATAAATATGCGCCTTTTGGATTTTTCGGAGAAGTTCAAGGCTTATTAGATATTTCGAAAAAAACAAATTTAGGCTATTTTAAAACTTGTCTCTAATTCCATTATAATCTACCGTATGATCGAATAAAAACGGCGTCAACGATGGCTATGAAGTGAAGATCGCTGTCATTTTATATGTAAAATTATATGGAAAATATCATTGATCGTCATTTCATAGCCATCGCTGACGCCGTTTTTATTCGATCATACGGTATTTTAGACAAAAAGTTTTGAGATAAAAGTTGTAGATAATCACATACCTAATGAGTTTGTATTTTCTGTTTTTTTTTCTAAAGTCTGTCATTTTTGACATATGACACAAACATATGTTTTTTAGTAAACCATAGTTGGCCATGACTTCATAAAAAGCGCCATTTTTTAAGCTTTTCAGCGATAGGTATAATGTTTTTTTCGAAAAATTACAAGTTATAGCCAATTCTTTTCTTTCTTGGCTAATTTCCATACCAATAATCCATGCCAATTAGTTAGCATCAAAAATGTAAAAAGTTTTATGTTTTCAAAAAAAAAAAATATCGTAAAATTCGTAAAGCACTCAATTTAGAATAAAATAATCTAAGAATGAATTGATTCTTTTATAAACCTGCATTAAATCAAATTAAAATAGGTATGTAACTTTTTTTTAAATATTAATTAACAGCCAATTAGCATTATCATAAATTATAAATAATGTACCAACATATCGAAATAATAATTTCTTTGTTAATACGGTTTAGAATTCTTAAAATAACAGGTAAAAATAATCCACAATTTACAATAAAATAAAAGTTTCGTTTAAATTTCTTAATTAGCTGATCACTATTAAACTCGCAGAAACCCGGGCTATATTATTACATTACTCTGAGGAAAATAACGAAAATAATCGATATTTTTGACTCCGCCCCGAAAGGTTCACGATTTGTCCTCCAGTTAGCAGCACATTTTGTCTAGTCGGTTGAACAACTTTAAGAATATATAAACAAGGCTACTACCTATGTTGCCATATTATCAAATTATTTTTTTTAAATAAAGACTAAAAAAATTTCCAAAAAAATTTTTCGCGAAAAAGCCTCATAGGCGTGTTTCTGGGGTTGAACTATACTACCAGTTAAAATACTTGCACTTATTTCTGGGACACCCTGTATATAAATCCGTCATGCGTCGCCTCGTTGTTTTTAATCAGTTTTATTAGTTTATTATTTCGAAAACGATTGATCATATCTCAATATTGGAGTGACGGAACGATGAAAGATGCCTGGGCGCAGACGCGTATGAACTCGACTTAAAATTTTTGAGGCTTGTCAAAGTCTTGCCAAGTTATAGGTTATAATATAATTTGTGTCAAATTATGTGAAATATTTGCGAATTGCTTTTTGCAATTGTGTTTTATGTTTTTTGAAATTAAGCGGAGGAAAAATCAAGGGAAAATTAACTGTAGACCTAGAGCACAGTTTATAGTTAATATTCGGTGCCCAGAGAGCCACCAATAAAGTTTGTATACCATTTCCTATATGGTACTAAAAACTGGAGAGGCTGTAAAATAAAGACATCACACGATAGGTAAATAAATGATTTTAGTACTGCAGAAAGATAATGTCAAAAGGTACTCTAGTTTAAAAAAATTAAGATTAAAGTTAATTAATCAACTTTTAAGGTATAAAATTCAGTAAGTGTTATTTTTTGAAGTAATCACTTGTCACTCAATATTATAGCATGTATATTTTTATACTATTTCTTTAAAAAATAAAATAAACTACATTGAAATTAAAATGTCAAGACACATCTGTCACTGTCAAGGATTTGGTCGTTGGACAGACTATAGTAAAGAATAATAACGAATCGTACCTGATTGGATGCGTGGGAGGTAATTCTGTTGTGGCAATGTCACTTGCGCTCTTGTACGCAACTAACGAGTGTTCTGCGGCATCTTTACGGTCGGCCCCTGTAGCAAACTCCGCCAAGTATCTGTGATAATCACCCTGTAAAACACAATTACTATATTACGTTACACTACGCCTTTTTACAACCTCAAAGTAAAATTCTTAAAAAATTATCAGCAAAAAATTTTCAACAAAGTTCTATAAAACTTCAGTCGCAAATTACCTCAAAAAACATCATGTAATATTTTAAGTTTTTTTTTGTTAGATTGGTTATGAGTTATTATTATTTACCTTCATTTTGTAGTAAAATACTTTGCTTTCTCCCGTGGAAGCGGCTGGAATTAAGTGTTTATCCAAAACTCCGAGAATGTCTGAGCATATTTCCCTCAATTCCTTTTCAACCTGTAAAAAAACTACATTAGTATCCAGTTTTTAGAATTTACAACCTAGAAAAAGCGCAGATTTTCCTTGACTTAAATAAGAACAATCTCAATGAACTCCTCAGTAGATTGAAACTAAGAAACAAGGGCGAATGCAGATTTTGTGGGGAAAATGGAGAGAAACACCAGAATATGTCATTACTGAGTGCGCCGAGACGACAACCGTTCTTGCCATAAACTTTGGTACGATTGATATCGGAGATGGAGAACTAATCTCTGTAAAACAGTCTTAGGTACTGACTTTTGTTAAAGCCCTGAGGCTGTATGACGAGATATAACAAAAGAAAGGGGTATAGTTTATCTGAAGTCAGTTGGAATATATTAGGACTTTTAATTTCGGTACTGTCTTTGTCGGCATCGTCGGGAAAAAGGAATGAAGAGTCTCAGTACTTCCAATTGACTTTGGAAAAATACTATACACAATAAACCTGCAAGGTAGCCGTGATTAACCCCTCTTCCTATACGTACTACATCCAGTTTTTATTAGGGAGTGATCAACAATTATTAGAATATTTGGCAATACTGGTATTAAGGCGGATTCTGACGACTCATGTACTTGACAAGTACGCCAATATTTGCGTACTTCGTAAGTATACTATCTTTGTAAATAACATTTTTTGCAACAAGCTCGGCGCTCACGCTTCACGACGAGTCACAAAAAATTGCACAAATGAACCGAGTACACGATATGGCAAGTATATATAACAAATGTTTGTACAAGTACACGCGTCATGAGAGTCCGCCTTTAGAGTATGTATTTATATAATTTCTTACATACCTTAAAAAACAAGTAAATACTGAATCTTAATAAACGACACCAACTAAGATATTAAGAATAAACCTTTGTTTTCATTAAAAATAAACAAATTATAATCGATAAAAGATATGCAACCAAAAATAAATAATTTAAACTTATAGAATGTTCAACCATCGCTCAACGTCACGTCATATATATTGTCAAACTCTTTCAATCACTGGCCAACCAGTTGAAAGATATTGGTGACGTCATTACGGCATTTCGTAAATTTCTGCATATTCTTTTAAGCAATTGTCATTTACTGTCCTCCATTCACGCAGTTGTGCAGCTCTGAACTGTTCAAGAACGCGATACTCTCACTCCATTCAATTGAGTCATAAAGTTCAGAACTGTTCCGCACCATATGGAGGCACCAGGCTATCGTGCACAACTCCTTTCAGAACCGTTCTGAGCAGTAAAGCTTCGGAACTTGAAATTCGCGAATGGAGGACAGCAATTGTCATTTGATTTGGTTAAATTTTATTGACAGACATCGATCCATGTCAAAATTAAAAATCGATTGTTGCTGTCAAACAAAATTCAAAAATGTTTATTGCAAAAATGCCTCAAAGATTTAGTCAAAATGAACAAGAGCTCATTGCTAAGGTTTTAAGTTATTTTTCTCGAGAAAGAGACGCTGGTAGAACACTCTTGCCTGGTAGAAAACTCATATTTGACATAAAGATGACGTAACGTTGAACGAAGGCTAAACATACTTTAACAACTACCGATAGTGATGTGAACTACTATCGAAGTTCTGAACTACTATCGAAGTTCGGCAAAATATCGATAATAAGAAAAACAAACTATGAAAAAGCAAAAAACTTTTCTCGTTACAATAATTCATGAGAATTGAATTCAAGTTACTTATCAATTGACTTGCTCTGACTACCTGTTGTCTATACGCCCTAATCATTTCTAATTTGTCGTCGGTGGCTTTGGATTCCTCTTTTTGTTCGATGGAGGATATTATCCTCCAGGACGCCCTGCGAGCCCCGATCACATTCTTGTAGGCGACGGAGAGGAGATTGCGTTCTTCCACGGTCAATTCCAGATCTAACTTGGCCACCTTTTTCATAGCCTCCACCATTTCTGAAAAGCAAAAAAAAACCGAATGAAGTTTTTTAAAACTTTATAATACATCGAAAAATACCTGTAAAAGTTATAAAAATGTGTCCTAGAAATCTATAAAAAATATTTCTATAAAGCCGCGTCCAAGCTACTCGAACAAAACGTTCGCGAACATATATAATTCACACTATATACTCGTAGCAGCAGGTCGTAAACGACGACAGCCCATCGCATCGGTCCGGAGGACTGAGGTGCGTAGTCGCTGTTTTTTCGAGTGCAAGCATTTTATTAAATAAATTAACCGGTAAACAGTTTAAGAACTTTTGTCGTTGAAGAATCAATATTTAGCAGGCGGAGGGTCACAGGGGTCTTTTGGTAGATTATTCGTTATAGTGTATTTTTAAGACCTGTATTAATTTTCAGCTGATTCTACCAGGTGTTTCTCAAAAGGGGCTCACTTTTTTACTTTTTCATTTTGTCAGATAATACAACGAAATTGGGTTTGTTAGTATATGACATAAATCGGGTTTGATTGACGTATTCAATTACCTTCGGTCGCTTCCTGTTTCACCGGAAATGACTACAACTTTGTATTTTTAGATTGTATCCTTTTAAGTACTTTTTACTTTATTTGATAGAAAATGACATTCTGAATAGAATGACATACCATACGTCAATTTTAGACAACTCCAATTAAATAAAAATAGCATTTTAAATTTCAGTCTAGAGTGCCAAGACTGAGTTAAAACTATTAATTTGTAATCAAAGAACTATGGAAACATATATTTGATCGTGTAAATTTTTTTCGCGCCCAAATCGTATTTTTAATGATAACTCAAATTTTTCAAATGGTACGAGGCTGGCTCAGCATATTTGGAAAAAGCATTTTTTACGAATAATTTGGTTCCACATACTTAGTATTTGGAGTAAAATTGTCGTTACGTTTATTTATGGCCATTTTTAAATTGAAAATGTCAAAAGTTGACATATATCATTCTATTTAGAATGTCATTTTCTATCATATACGGTAAAAAATACCGAGGGTACCATTTAAATCAAAAGTTGTTGTCATTTCCGGTGAAATAGGTAGTGACCGAAAATAAATGAAAACGTCGATCAATCCTGATTTATGTCCTATACTAACATACCAAATCTCGTTTTTTATCTAAAAAATTAAAAAAGTTATAGAACCACTTTTCAGAAACACACGGTATATTTATTTCTAGAAATGTAATGGTAAAATTTCATTTCCGGTGTCAAACGTCCTATTAAGTAGTAATTTTTAATTTCAGAATCCCATAATAATTCCGGTTTTTAATAAAAATAATCATAAAGGTCTTTATTAACAAAAATGAAATTATATGGACGAAGTCTAGCTACATAGCTATTCACACTCAACCCAAAATAAAATTAAAATTATAAAATCCTTTTTTTGTGTAAACAAATTAGTTGTAAATGTTTTTCACGATCCCAGTCAATAACTGCCTCTCCCATTGTCGAATACTCGGTAAAAAATAAAAATCACAGATGGACTCCCGAAATTAAATGAGACCCTTCCAAGTGTCCGGTACAATGTCGTCCGCCGAAATGCACGCCGTTCTTTTGATTTAACCGACACCCGTCGGAAAAAGAACGCGCGCGCTCTAAAGGTGCGTATTCATTATCCGCACGAACGAACGAACGAACGAATGTACGCTAGTGGTATGGACGGGGACCGCACGATAGGACCGCACGAGAAGACCGGAGGCATTTGTTGGCGAACGCCTTTGATGTACCGACTCGAAACGGATGGTCGAGCGAACGAACGAACGAACGGCCGCATGCGTTCGGTCCCCGTCTAAATATATCGCACTTTCATTCGTTCGTTCGTTCGTTCGGATAATGAATACGCACCTTAACATAGGCAGACGCACGCTCTGGCGTACAAGCTAGCCGTTCGGCGCTCCGCGCTCCTTAATAGGCCTAGGCTAGCTGTACTTGTTGGCTTTATTATTTATAAACTTACCTATCTCACAATTTTCACTTAGTATCTGTTTAATTATATATGTTCGCGAACATTTTGTTCGAGTAGCTTGGACGCGGCTTAATAGATATACCTTTAATCCATCTATTCATCAAATAAAATGTTACACTTGTCATTGTAACGTTTAAATCATTTTAATAAATCGAAAAATAACTGTAAATGTTATAAAACTATATAAAACATTATTTGTATAACACATATACCTATTTCATAACTATAAGCGATATCAATAATTAAACTTTTAGTTACGTAATCGAGGGTGCGATTTTTAAATTCATTGTTACCAACCATGGACATATTCGGTGCCTAGTTGACTAACTGTAATATAAAGTTCACGCTGAGGATTCAGGTGGTAGCTCTGCTGTAAAAAATGTCAAGTTGCCGCATTTATTTATTGACATTGTCATTCGTTTTGACACTTTAGTTTTGTATTACGAGTTTTTGGTTTAAATAAATAGTGTTGTGATAGTTTAAGCCTAAAAATGTTTACTAGCAGACCTCGCAGTCGAACATGGTTCTTTTTAGAACCTCTTTTAGTGCGAAGTGGTACAAGATAACTTAATAGTCGTAAAAAACTCATCGCAACTTTATTAGAATATTTAGAACGGGAAAGCGGTAGTAATGGCCCTTTATGTCCCTTAAGTGCTATTAAGAAGAAGAGTTTTGTTGATGTAAATAATAACTGTTTATATATTTATAATTTGTTTTTGTCTCCTAAAATATTTTGATTAACAGAAAATATAAACTCACCGGCAAAAAAAACCGGCCACTAAAAACTAGACCCAATTTCAAAGTTGGATTTCTCGCGAACCACTCATTAGATTTTGATGATTTTTCTTTTAAATTGTAAACTAATTCCTTTTTAACGGATGCTACGTCAGAAATTTTTATTCCGAATTTATTTTGAGCATATACAGGGCACAACAATAAGACGAAGTTTTTTGCCCGAACTTTGTAACACCCTGTAGGGTGCAGCAGCGGTAGTAGCTATTGCTAAATTAAATCGCATTGTAGCCTCATCTTTTGTGAGCATTGTGTTTTTTTAATCACCACATTATCTCTTTTTGTATTAGAGATATGCTGTTTTAAAACGAACGTCTCGGAAAAATTCAGAATTCATATCGGAAAAGGCAGAAAGTTTTATGTGTAAATAATCAAGGCGACATATAGGCGAAAACGGATTTATGAGTATTTGCAATATGAGAAAAACGGTTGTCAAATTAAAAAAATGCCATTATCTGTAACGTATTGTGGCTTTAATTGAGGATAGCCGATGTCAACGTTATGTCACCGATACCCTGGGTATATTTCGAACAACAGTCCAGAATGCCTGGAATCGGTATATGGTAACGGGAAATTTCACCAGAGTGGATACTAAATATTAGTCCCTTAAAATTTCTTTACCTTTTTTTTAATTTTCATGTTTTAGTTAGTTTACGTTTTCGTTCTGATGTTTGATTTGATTTTAAAGCTTTTTTCGAGGCGTTTGTTTTAAAGCAGCGTATCTTCAATACAAACAGAGATAATGTGGTGATTAAAAAAACAAAATGCTCACAAAAGATGAGGCTACAATGTGATTTAATTTATCAATAGCTACTACCTCTGCTGCACCCTACAGGGTGTTACAAAGTTTGGGCAAAAAACTTCGTCTTATTGTTGTGCCCTGTATATGCTCAAAATAAATTTGGAATAAAAATTGCTGACGTAGCATCCGTTAAAAACGAATTAATTTACAATTTAAAAAAAATCATCAAAATCTAATGAGCGGTTCGCGAGAAATCCAACTTTGAAATTGGGATTAGTTTTTAGTGGCCGGTTTTTTTTGCCGGTGAGTGTATAAAAGTGGGCAACGCTATGCCGGTCAAGCTTAATCACGTGACTAAAGGTTTATTTGGTATGAACTTTATATGCATCCCTTTTAGGCCGGGACCCTATTAGGCAACACGCCACGCCACGCCATCCCACGTCATGAAGATCTGTGCGTATGTTTATCCATTTAATTACATGTGTTGCGTACACACTATACCCCATACCCCTGCTACATTTTCTACTTAATATTCTACCATTTCTACGCACTTTTCTACATAAACGTAACAAATTAATTTACTACGTGTCGCTACCCAACCCTGATTTCAACGACGATATACCAAGATTTTCCACGATTAAAATAAATCGTATTTTGATCCACCGTGTCGAATCTCAAAATTTAATTCCTTTTTTTAAATCGAGATCTTACGCCCTATTTTGTCTGGACAAAAACAGGATAAAATTCAACAGATGAGCTTAGAGGGGAAAAATGGTCGTCTTTGAGAAGAAAAGCAAATATTTTTCAAGTTAAGCTCTAAGAGGAGGGGGCTTGGATTTTTTTCTGGCCAAGCCACAGGCTAACGGCCCCCTTTTTCGAACGAGCACCCGGCGACAGGACGATCGATAGCTATAGAACGGTCGTGACAGTCCCGGCGGCCGTCCCAGATCGAAATATTGCGACACGGGACGGAAAGACGTGGAATAATTTAATAAGAGAAACGCGGAGACGTATTATATTTTGGATATATTTGTTTTTTGGATTGGAATAGGGTGAATTAGCCAGTGGTCGAACAGTTTATAAAAAGTTGAGTTTAAATTGTTGATTAAATTTTATATTATATAAATATGGTATAGAAATGAAATTTTATGTAAAGGCGCACTCTCACGTCTCGTCTACTTGGCAAGTACAGTCTGACAAACGGATCTGAAAAAACGGGGCAACGGCAAGGGGATCGCAATTTTCTAAAATCATGACCGATTTCATTCATAAAATATCCACGAGCGTGCGGGGTTTCATAAAAATATATCAGGAATTTTTATAATATTTTCCAGTAAAGTTTAAAATATTATTTTACTTTAAATGTACCTACATTTTGTTTAGTCATTTGCCAAATATAGTAATATTTGTTAAAACGCGTGTACTAATTTACAATAAACACAAATCAAGTTAAAGATATAAAACACAATACAA